ATGATAAAGTTATAAATGTCAATCGCAGGAGAAAATCATTTAGTTACAGACAATTTTGCTTCCCGATTATTTATTTTTTGATTATTAGCTTATTATTATTATTTTTCTTATTACATACATTCGTATTTCCTACACTTTCAAAACAAAAGTTATAATTTGCAGATGGGACGAACATCAGAAGCCAAAAAGTCTAGAAGTGGCAACTTGGAACATGGACGCCAAACGAATCAAAACAACATGCACGGATTACGAAGTGGGAAAGTGCCTGCAAATCCTGTGCAATCAAAAGAAGAAAGCTCATCACGATCCGCAGACAATCAACAAAAAGAAAAAGAATTCGACAGGAAAGCACATTTGAAAGGAGCACTGGAGGCAAGGATTCTGAAAGATAATGAAAAGAAAAGAGCCGAGCAAAATCGTCAAAACGCCGTCTATGTGGCAAAAGCAAAGCAAAACGATGATGATTCTGTTGCTTCAACCTCACATATTCAAACCAAATCACCGACTCCTCCAACTCCAGAAGCTCTACTCGGTATGAAAAAAAGTGCCAATCTATCAAATAAAGGACTATTATCTGTAAACCATTTTCTTCAATCAAACCAAGGAGTAACCATTGGCTCACAACGAACTATCGAAAAGGCCAAGAAGACTCTGGACCAGTTTGTCAGATATGAAATAGTTCTCAATGAAGGAGTAAGATTGGAAGCTGTGTTGAAAGCTGTTGAAGAGCGGCGAAGAAGATTGGATCTGCTCGATGAGCGAGGAAAACGGCTGATTTTTTCCCTCGATAAAGGACACGGTCACACGAGTTATTTCAACTATTTCATTCCTGAGCTGCGAAAAACCGTGCTCGTCTCGAAATTGTCTTCCATTACAAGCTTGGGAAGGTTCAGATTCTTACGACTCGCTGAAGGAAAAGGGAATTTGCAAAGACTTTGAGACTTTGGTGCAAGCCGGATATATGGTTTTTCTCGGTGGAGATCTATCTTTCTTGAACACCAATTTTGGTCTTTCCTGTGCGATGATGTTTGGATGTTTATGGTGCAACAAGAGGTTTGACAAAAAACCATCCGCTGATAAGGATTCAATTGATTTTCAACAATATGCTGATCGGAGTGACCCTTCGGTGGAAGCGATGATTTCAAAAGTAAAAGGTCTGCAGGCAAAAAAAGAAAATCTATTAAATGTTTCTCGAAGTTTGGTAATTCCCCCAATACTTCATGCAAAAATCAAGATTGGAAACCAACTTTTTGAACAATTGATGAAACTCGAAGGGTCCTCTCAGACTTTCCAAGATGTTTGTCGAAAATGGAAGTTGAATGTGAATCGGAAGAGTGATGGGATTATCTATGCTCGTTTCAACGGAAACGATATAAAGAATCTCTGTCGATCCTCAGTGATTTCGGATTTAGCAGTCGTTTCTTCCTCCCGTTCCTATCAAGTAGTCATTTCTGCATTACGTGAGTTTAACAAATGGTCTCAAATGGTTTCAACCACTAAAAGTGTTCTTTCGGATAAAGAAATAAAAGATTTGGCTTGCAAAGGCAAACATTCAAAAGCCAGAAACTGCTGCCAAACAGCGATTCTTTGCGATGAACTAGAAAAAGTTGGTGGTTTTGGACAAAGTGTACTGGTCCATGCTCTACTCTTACATCTTGGCCCATTTGTCCATGAGCATAAATTCATCGGAAATGCATCCGAAGAGGGCATTGAGGCAGTTCACAGCAGGCTAGAATCTGAATTTGCTCGAAACAAGACAGGACCACCAGAAGAGCGACTAATGAACTCGCTCAAGTGGCTCGGTTATGTTGTTCTCCTCAATGATGATGGAAATATGACATCTTAATTTCCTCCTTTTTGCTTAATGTTCAATTGTGATTCTTTTTTTTGTCTAATTCATGCTTATAAATAGAATAAATTTTTTCTAGACTATACCAGATCTGCAAGTACCGCAGAACCAGAAAAAAACTGCATTCCATAAAATCATAAAATCCATAAAATCGGACAAAACTAATAAAAAGTCAAATTTTTCGGGAAATTCTTTCCGCCATGTTTAAACACATAAAAATGCTTTCGAATGATATATAACACTTGATGATTTGACACAAAAGAAAAATTTTACCAACATCAAAGGTGGGCGCGGGCCATATAACCGCGCACTTCTAAAAAACCTAGGTTTCGGAGCTCGCGTTTCCATTGACCAAAAAACAAAATTAAAAAACAATTCCCGACCAACTTTTTGCGTAGAATTCAGAAATTTGCTTTTTGAGCCTAGTTTATCAGCTAGATTTTCGTGAAAAAAATTATTTTGACTTTTCGGCGCCGAATATGGAAAAAATTTCATGGAAAAATAGAATTCCACAAAAACTCAATTCAGCATTTTGAAAGAGCGTGAAAAGAGCTATTGAATGACATATAACACTTTATGGTTCGATGAAATATGAAATTTCACTAACATCAAAGTCGCCGCCTTTAATTCTGAAATTTTGGATGATGCTTTTCGGATCATTTTATTTTTTCCGTTCATTTTTGGGCCTAACTTAAAATTTGTAGTGTTCGGATTTTTGATTTAAAGAAAAAAAAAATTTACACAGGGGTGTAATCGATGTGCCCCGGTAACCCATCAAAATCAAATATTATAAAAGATTTTCATTTTTTTTATTTTATTCTCATTCTGAAGTCAATCACAAACACATAAATGCAAAAAAAAAGAAAAAAAAAAGAAAAAAAAGGATTTCCCTTTCTCTGATTCTTTCAAATTGAATAGTAATCGGCTCAGAAATGCAAAAAGCATAAATATAAAAGAAATTTGAAGAATTTGAGGAATTTGACGAACTTGAGGTTTTCAGTGTTTTCTATTCAGGCTATAGTGCTTCTTTTTTGAAAACTGTAGCCTTAGGGGGTACTGTAGCTGACTGCAGCTGACTGTAGCTGACTCTAGCTGACTGCAGCTGACTGTAGCTGACTCTAGCTGACTGCAGCTGACTGTAGCTGACTCTAGCTGACTGCAGCTGACTGTAGCTGACTCTAGCTGACTGCAGCTGACTGTAGCTGACTCTAGCTGACTGCAGCTGACTCTAGCTGACTGCAGCTGACTGTAGCTGACTCTAGCTGACTGTAGCTGACTCTAGCTGACTGCAGCTGACTGTAGCTGACTCTAGCTGACTGTAGCTGACTCTAGCTGACTGCAGCTGACTGTAGCTGACTCTAGCTGACTGCAGCTGACTGTAGCTGACTCTAGCTGACTGCAGCTGACTGTAGCTGACTCTAGCTGACTGCAGCTGACTGTAGCTGACTCTAGCTGACTGTAGCTGACTCTAGCTGACTGCAGCTGACTGTAGCTGACTCTAGCTGACTGTAGCTGACTCTAGCTGACTGCAGCTGACTGTAGCTGACTCTAGCTGACTGCAGCTGACTGTAGCTGACTCTAGCTGACTGCAGCTGACTGTAGCTGACTCTAGCTGACTGCAGCTGACTCTAGCTGACTGCAGCTGACTGTAGCTGACTGTAGCTGACTCTAGCTGACTGTAGCTGACTCTAGCTGACTGTAGCTGATATTTGCATACCTACAAGACTTTGCTACAGCTACAGTACTCTGTTTTTATTTGGTGATCAGTATTCCTTCTGCTTTGACTGTTGTACTGACTGTGCTTTGACTGTTGTAGCCGATATGGGTACTGTTGCAGGCCATTTTAGGGTACTGTAGTTGTTCTAGGGGTACTGTAGTTGTTATAGGGCTACTTTAAGGGCAACTGTAGCTGTTCCAAAGCTACGGAGCTCTATGAAGCTAGCTAGAGTACTGCAACGGCAGTAGAAATGCACTCAAGTAGAATTGACTATCGAGATCGATTGATCGATCGATCGATTGAGTTCGATTGACTTTGACTATTGAGTTCTTATCGATATTGAGCTGGCATTAAGAGTTGCCTAGGATACTATAGACTACAGTAGGACTAATACAGTAATTTTCATGAATTCAGTCGAACTGGATGTCACGATGCATAAAAAAATGGGTAAAATGGGTGGTTAGAGAGATTTTGAAAAATCGGTGGAGAACCGGAAAGAGAAGTCTATATTTTAGACCCCTCGATTGAAAATTTTTGCAAGCCACTCAAATATTTCGCCGTTCTGGATGTCACAGAAGATTTGAGTCATAGAATTTTCGAACTTTCGAGCACTTAGGAAAGATCGGTGGAGAACCGGATAGAGAAGTCTATCTTTTAGACCAATCGATTGACAATTTTTGCAATCCACTCAAATTTTTTGTCGTTCTGGATGTCACAGAAGATTTGAGTCATAGAATTTTTGAACTTTCGAGCACTTAGGAAATATTGGGGAAAAACCGGCGTGAACCGGAAAGGTTTTGGCGCTATTTTGGATTACTCGGCTTAAAATTTTTCAAGCAACCCGAATTTTTCGCCATTGTGGATGTCACAGAAGATTTGTAGCATAGAATTTTTGAACTTTCAAGCACTTAGGAAAGATCGGTGGAGAACCGGATAGAGAAGTCGATATTTTAGAGCCCTCGATTGACAAGTTTTGCAAGCCATTCAAATTTTTTGCCGTTCTGGATGTCACAGAAGATTTGTAGCATAGAATTTTTGAACTTTCAAGCACTTAGGAAATATTAGGGAAAAACCGGAAAGGTTTTGGCGCTATTTTGGATTACTCGGCTTAAAATTTTTCAAGCAACCCGAATTTTTTGCCGTTCTGGATGTCACAGAAGATTTGAGGAAAAGAATTTTTGAACTTTCGAGCACTTAGAAAATATTTGAAAACGAATCGAATGAATGAATCAAATGAATCGAATGAATCAAATGAATGAATGAATCAAATGAATCGAATGAATCAGAATCGATCTCGAGAAAAGCTCTTGATAGTCAAATCTTTGTTTACTGTAAATGAAGCTCGATAATTGTCAGGCTTTATATTTTCATTGTTTTCATCATCGGTTCCATCATCGATTCATTGTATCCATTTTCATTGTATCGATCTTCCAGCCTCCTCCGATCTTCACGACTGTCTCTCTCGCAATTCTCGTGTTTACCATTCTCATCAAAGCATTTCTCTACTTTCAATGCAGAAGAAGGAAAACGAAAAATGCAGAGGTTTGTCTGATTTGTCTGATTTGTGAAAACTTGGTCTTACGATCCTTACGGTCTTACGATCTTCTTACGGTCTTACAATTCTTACAGTTCTTACGATTCTTACAATTCTTACGATTCTTACAGTTCTTACGATCTTCTTACAGTTCTTACGATCTTCTTACGGTCTTACGATCTTCTTACAATTCTTACAATTCTTCCAATTCTTACAATTCTTACAATTCTTCCAATTCTTACAATTCTTACAATTCTTCCAATTCTTACAATTCTTCCAATTCTTACAATTCTTACAATTCTTCCAATTCTTACAATTCTTCCAATTCTTACAATTCTTCCAATTCTTACAATTCTTACAATTCTTCCAATTCTTACAATTCTTCCAATTCTTACAATTCTTCCAATTCTTACAATTCTTACAATTCTTCCAATTCTTACAATTCTTCCAATTCTTACAATTCTTACAATTCTTACAATTCTTACGATTTCCAGGTGCTTTCCGTCGACCAACTCAATGACGTTTTCACGAATATTCTCGTCATTTTCGGTACTCTCATGGCTCAATGGGTTTCCCCGTTATGCGATCCGGTCGTCGCCGCGCTTGTGTCGTTCGTTTTTTACGACTCAATTCTTTGTTTTGGGTACATCTACAAAGCAAAGGAGCTACAAAGCTAAAGAGCTACAAAGCTAAATCTCTAAAGCATCTTGGGGCTTTTGGGAGCAATTTTTCTCTTAATTTGGCTCTCTTTTTGCCTCTATTTTTGCATTAAATTTGGCTAAAAATCGCTGTTTTCAAGCCGGAAACACAAAAGCCATTTAAACCAAAAAAAGGAAAACGTAAAGGCAGCTAACGGATTTGAACCCGGCAGGTCTTGCCTTTTAGCCTAAACTACTACCATTCGGCCACTCTTACAATGCTTTCGTAGCGGAAAAGTCCGGTTTATACGGTTTTAACGTCTTGCTTTAACGGTTTTAACGTTTTGTTTTAACGATTTTAACGTCTACCCCTTACAAAACTTTAAATAAGCATAACTTCTCACAGAGTGCTTCATAGCAGAAACGGAAAGCAGATTCGGAATCAGTGTGAAATTCTGCGTCGAATGGTCTATGGATCTTGTCATTTGACCAGCCTATCCTTCTTAAACAACAGCTAAACTGCGAGGACAATGCGATCTGAGTTGAGAGTTTTCTCTTCCGATTTTCTCAAGATTCTTTAGTCCAATCAATCTCTATTTGGTATCATTTGAAAGCCTGAAATCTTCTCTATCCAATGATATAAAAGCTTTTGAATAAGCTTATCTCTAGACAAAGTTATGAACCTTTAAAGCACGGTCCCTCATTCAGAGTACCCGGTCTTCGGTCTCTTGGTTTGTCTTCAGTTTTCTCGAGAGTCTTTAGTCCAATTAATCTCTACTCTAGATTATTTGAAAGCCTGAAATCTCCTCTATCCAATGATATCAAAGCTTTTGAATAATATGATCTCTAGACAAAGTTATGGACTTTTAAAGCGCAATAAAGAAAAAAAAATTTTGTTTTTTCCCTAGCTCGATTCATTAACAAAATTTCTCAAAAAAAAAGCGCAAAATCTCACCAAAATTCATCTCGATTTAGTGTTTTCGTTGATATTTTCTCGATTTTGAGTTAAATTTCGGGGATTTTCACGGGGATTTTCCGGATTTTCCGGATTTCGAATCAAATTTCAGCGATTTTCAAAGGATTTTCTCGGATTTTGACAATATTGCATGAAAAATCTTGAAGAAAAATCATTAAAAAGCAGCTAAAAAGGCTAGAAAAGCTAAAAAACAGCTAAAAAAACAGCTAAAAACAGCTAAAAGCAGCTAAAAAACAGCTAAAAGCAGCTAAAAACAGCTAAAAAACAGCTAAAAAACAGCTAAAAACAGCTAAAAACAGCTAAAAACAGCTAAAAACAGCTAAAAAGCAGTTAAAAGCAGCTAGAAAAGCAAAAACGAAATGAAAATACTCTTTTTGTCATTGTATTTCTCAATTTTTAGTGGCTACATCGCTTTTAATTGGTTTTCGATGGTCGTCGAGCAATTTGATCAGGTAAACGAAAAATTTTCGCATTTCCTGGGCTTTGTGTGCTCCAGATAAGCGAGAAATTCGTTGAAATTGCTTTTTGAGAAATTTTTATGGGCTAAGTAGTGAGCTGGAATTGGATTTCTCTTTCTGTGCTCTTCTGTTCTGCTTAAAAGCTCAAAATCTCGAATCCACTGAATTCTTTCATTTCCCAGACGAAAAAGCATATGAATTGAAGAGAAAATCGAGATCTCAGTGCGGTAGAAATGTGCGTTTATTCGAGCACAAAGTACAGCAAAAGAGGGCAGAAGGAAAGCCTAAAGAAAGCTGCCTTTTCACTGTAACAGGCGGTCACAAGCCCCCTGACAAGCGGGCTGGATAGTCTAGTGGATAAGTGGCTCGGCTACAGAACTGGCTCCCTCCTCTCTGCACTCAAGTTCGACTCGCACTCACGGCAAAACTTTTTTGCTCTTTCCTTTCTGTTTCCATTGAATGATTTCCCAGACAAAAAGCACATGAATTCAAGAGAAAATCGAGATCTCAGTGCGCTAGAAACGTGCGTTTATTTGAGCACAAAGTACAGCGAAAGAGCGGCGAAGGAAAGCCTGAAGAAAGCTGCCTTTTCACTGTAACAGGCGGTCACAAGCCCCCTCACAAACGGGCTGGATAGTCTAGTGGATAAGTGGCTTGGCTACAGAACTGGTTGCTTGCTCTCTGGACTCAAGTTCGAGTCCCGCTCCCGGCAAAGACTTTTTTGCTTCCCTAAAAACTCTTTCATTTCTGTTTCCATGAATGATTGCCTCGTTTTATGCACAGTTTTTTGTAATTTATAAGCCGATATTAGACTTATTAGGTTAACCGAATCACCCTTCATTGAAAAAGATAATTTAGAAGTAATCCAATTCACTAATCGGTGAATGGTAGTAACTGCGAATGAGTTGTAAAGGATTACTGTACTTTTCCAAAATAATTTAGATATTTGAGCCATTTAATCTTGTTATCTGGAAGGCACGACGGCTAGTTATTAGTAAAATCATTGGATTCGGAGGAAATTGGTGAATGGTAATGCTGCGAATGAGTTTCGAAGGGATTACTGTACTTTTCGACAATAGTTTACATATTTTAACCAGTTAATCTTCTTATCTGGAACTCACAACGGTTAGCTATCAATAAAACAACGAGGTTTGAAGGAAATTGGTGCATAGTAATACTATGTCTGAGTTGGGAAGGGATTACTGTAGTTTTCGGCGATAATTTATAGATTCTAACGATTGGATATTGTTATCTGGAACTCACAACGGTTAGCTATCAATAAAATAATGAGATTTGGAGTAAATAGGTGAAAGATAATATGGTGAATGAGTATGAAGGGATTACGGTACTTTTCGACAATAGTTTACATATTTTAACCAGTTAATCTTCTTATCTGGAACTCACGACGGTTAGCTATCAATAAAACAACGAGGTTTGAGGGAAATTGGTGCATAGTGATACTATGTCTGAGTTGGGAAGGGATTACTGTACTTTTCGACAATAGTTTACATATTTTAACTATTTATTCTTGTGATCTGGGAGGCACGATGGTTAACTGGCAGTAAAAGCATTAGATTTGAGGGAAATAGATGAATGGTGATACTATGAATGAGGTTTGAAGGGGTTACGGTACTTTTCGACAATAGTTTACATATTTTAACCAGTTAATCTTCTTATCTGGAACTCACAACGGTTAGCTATCAATAAAATAATGAGATTTGGAGTAAATAGGTGAAAGATAATATGGTGAATGAGTATGAAGGGATTACGGTACTTTTCGACAATAGTTTACATATTTTAACCAGTTAATCTTCTTATCTGGAACTCACAACGGTTAGCTATCAATAAAACAACGAGGTTTGAGGGAAATAGATGAATGGTGATACTATGAATGAGGCTTGAAGGGGTTACGGTACTTTTCGACAATAGTTTACATATTTTAACGATTGGCACTTCTTATCTGGCACCCACCACAGCTAGATATTGAAAATTAGGGTAATTAACAGGAGTTTAGAATCTAATCAATGCTAGGTACTATTAGGCTTTCGTTCTTTCGTTCTTCCGTCTTTTCGTACTTTCGTTTAAAACCCCAACGATCCTATTGACCTATTGCACCGATTTACTCGATTAGAAATAAGACTTCATAAGCTCGGGCTTTTCAAAGTGTTAAAAAATTGCCACAAATTGCGACAAATTGCCAATTTTTGCCATTTTTTGTTAGATTTTCGAAAGAACAGAAATTTGCATAAAATTCGATTCTATTTTTCATTTTTGCAAATGAATTTTCATTGCAAGTGCACAAAGGAAACAGTTTTTTAGAAAAGCAAGAAAGTTTGGCGGGAGTGAGATTCGAACTTGCGGGCAAAAGGTCTCGAGCCGGCTCGGTAGTCTACGCACTTATCCACTACACCACGGAGGCAGTTATTCGGGGGGCGTGTGACGGCTTTATAAGGGTTTCAGGACCTGATTTCAAAACAATTTTACGATCATCTTCTATCTCGAATATCTCGCGTTTGGTAAACGTTCTGGAAAAACTAAAAACAGATTCGAAATCCCCATTGTCGATTCTACAAGATGGATATAGTGTCGAGTCAAAAATTCAGCTTGTTTCGGTCTTTTTCACTTGTAGAAGAGACTTGAATCTTCTCTAGACTATTTCCAGATTTCCTTTCCTATTTCTTAGTGAACTTCAGTGATTCAGCTCCATCACAAATACATTTAGAGCTTAGAAAGCGTCCTTTCTTGACTCTAACCCATTCAGGTGGTCGGTGGTGCTTGTTCGCCAGAAGATTACGGTCGAATCGCACGCGTCATCTCGAGACACCCAAAAGTGAGAGCAATCGACGCTTTGCTTGTTTATCATGCAGGACAAAAGGTACAATAGATGCTTCTGCTATAGAAGCTTTTGTAAATGGCTTCTAAACCTGAGGAAGCTCTGAGAAAATTCGACACGATTCAGGTTCGTGTCGAGGCTCACGTCGTCACCGAAGCCACTTGCCCAGCCGATCTTCTACACGATGAATTGCTGGAACCATTGCAGAAATCTCTTGAAAGTCTTCCGTTTGTTGACAAGGTATTCAGGAAGTTTTCACCTAAAGCCATACGTTTATAATGGAGCTCCAAGAGAGCCTCCAAGAGCTCCAAGAGAGCCTCCAAGAGCTCCAAGAGCAGCTCCAAGAGAGGCTCCAAGAGAGGCTCCAAGAGCTTCAAGAGCAGCTCCAAGAGAGCCTCCAAGAGCTCCAAGAGCAGCTCCAAGAGAGGCTCCAAGAGAGGCTCCAAGAGCTTCAAGAGCAGCTCCAAGAGAGCCTCCAAGAGCTCCAAGAGCAGCTCCAAGAGCAGCTCCAAGAGAGGCTCCAAGAGAGGCTCCAAGGGCTTCAAGAGCAGCTCCAAGAGAGCCTCCAAGAGAGGCTCCAAGAGCTCCAAGAGAGGCTCCAAGAGCAGCTCGAGATCTCCGAGCATCCGAGCGTTTACAATGGAGCTTTAGTTTAGACCAATTAAACCAAATCCAATTGGTAGACTGAATAAAATGAATAGCGCCAATCGATTGCCCGACTCTGAAAACCCCTGGTTATAAATTCCAGCTAAATATCTTCATTGAAAGCTATCCAAAAAGCAAAAGAGAAATCTCTGTAAATGACTAGCGAAGGGTTCTTTGTGTGAAAGCATAATCGCTCGTGATCTGGCATACTCATCGGATATCGAAGTAGACTTCTACGGATTTCTTTACGGATTCCTTTACGGATTCCTTTACGCATTCCTTTTATAAGCCGTAAAGGAGTAAGAGCGCTCAGCGAATAGGCGGCGCGTATATAAGGCGGCACGTATATAAGACGGCACGTATATAATGCGGTGCGTATATAAGACGACGCTAATGTAAGCCGGTGTGTATGTAAGCCAGTGCGTATATAAGACGGCCCTTAAATAAGGCAAAGGGGGCGCGGATCAAATGTCCAATAACCATTTTTGCCTTAAATTTGGCTGCTCAGCTAGAAATCTAGCTATTTTAGCTAGAAATCTAGCTATTGGGTTGGGGAGAATGAGTCGGCGCCGAAAATGAAAAAAATGTCTAAAACTTCTATTCGACTTCGTCAAATAATATGCGTTTGATATGAGTAGAATGGTTAACTAGCTCAGCTTCTAGCTCAGCTTCTAGCTCAGCTTCTAGAGCTTCTAGCTCAGCTTCTAGCTCAGCTTCTAGCTCAGCTTCTTCAGCTTCTAGCTCAGCTTCTAGCTCAGCTTCTAGCTCAGCTTCTAGCTCAGCTTCTAGCTCAGCTTCTAGAGTTTCTAGCTCAACTTCTAGCTCAGCTTCTAGCTCAGCTTCTAGCTCAGCTTCTAGCTCAACTTCTAGCTCAACCTCTAGAGCTACTAGCTCAACTTCTAGAGCTTCTAGCTCATCTTCTAGCTCAGCTTCTAGAGCTTCTAGCTCAGCTTCTAGCTCAGCTTCTAGCTCAGCTTCTAGCTCAGCTTCTAGCTCAGCTTCTAGCTCAGCTTCTAGCTCAACTTCTAGCTCAACCTCTAGAGCTACTAGCTCAGCTTCTGGCTCAGCTTCTAGCTCAGCTTCTAGCTCAGCTTCTAGCTCAGCTTCTAGCTCAGCTTCTAGCTCAGCTTCTAGCTCAGCTTCTGGCTCAGCTCTAGCTCAACTCGTACTGGCTCAGCTTCTGGAGGCTTCTGGCTCAGCTTCTAGAGCTTCTAGCTCAGCTTCTAGCTCAGCTTCTAGCTCAGCTTCTAGCTCAGCTTCTAGCTCAGCTTCTAGCTCAGCTTCTAGCTCAGCTTCTAGAGCTTCTAGCTCAGCTTCTAGCTCAGCTTTCAACTCAGCTTCTATTGGGTTGGGGAGAATGAGTCGGCGCCGAAAATCAAAAAAAAATCTAAAACTTCTATTCGACCGTTTGATATGAGTAGAATGGTTAACTAATTCTCTACAAAATCACATTTAAAAGAAAATTCAAACAGCGCCTCCGCTCAAGAAAAAGCCATTTTTTCACACAAAAACTACAAACTGTGATCTAGAAAAAACCATTGGTGGGATCTTCCTGCAAATTTGGCAACTTAAGTAATTGAATGTGCTCTATCTTTTTTATATAAACACCAAAGGAGGTTTATGTGAAAGAAACTGTTCAAATGATGAGTCGGACTCTTTGCCATTTTAACCAGCTGCCTTTGGAAAGTTCATAAACTCGACGAAAGAAAAGCTTTGTGGAATCTCTCAAAAGTGATTTTGTAGAGAAATAGTGGATCCTTTTGATGAAACCAAAGTTTAAAGAAGTTTAAAGAAGGCTTTATGTGTGCAAAAAGTCCCTTTAAAGTTTGGCGCCGACTCATTCTCCCCAAGCCAATATTTTAGCTAGAAATTCTGGATCCTGTCTTGCGTTACAAACATTGGAAGTATCCAAAGAAAGATCTTTCCCTCTAACTTTCAATACTTTTTTTTGTATCTCGCCAAATTTGCAGGCCTTCGTCCATCCAGACTATCAGCTCGACGGAGTGGTCAAATATGTGCCGAGTTGAAGCATTTCAAGCTGGCTTTTCAAGCATTTGAAGCATTTGAAGCTGGGCATTTGAAGCATTTAAGCTTTTTTGTTTTGAAGCTTTTGAAGCTGCTTTTTGAATTTCAATTCATTTTTGTCTTTTTCTATTTTTCGATTCATTCAAACAGCCATTTCATTTTTAAAAAATTTTTTTTCAATTCGGAATCACATCACAAATTCTCGACGTGCTTTTTATGTTGTCTAAGGGGGAGATAGCTAAGAAGAATTAGCTGGATTGGAATGGAGTCTGGAGTCTGAATAGAGTCTGGAGTCTGAATAGAGTCTGGAGTCTGAATGGAGTCTGGAGTCTGAGTGGAGTCTGGAGTCTGAGTGGAGTCTGCAGTCTGAGTGGAGTCTGGAGTCTGAGTGGAGTCTGCAGTCTGAGTGGAGTCTGGAGTCTGAGTGGAGTCTGCAGTCTGAGTGGAGTCTGGAGTCTGAGTGGAGTCTGCAGTCTGAGTGGAGTCTGCAGTCTGAGTGGAGTCTGGAGTCTGAGTGGAGTCTGCAGTCTGAGTGGAGTCTGGAGTCTGAGTGGAGTCTGCAGTCTGAGTGGAGTCTGGAGTCTGAGTGGAGTCTGCAGTCTGAGTGGAGTCTGGAGTCTGAGTGGAGTCTGCAGTCTGAGTGGAGTCTGGAGTCTGAGTGGAGTCTGCAGTCTGAGTGGAGTCTGCAAGGCCCGTGTAGACACATTCATTGCATCCACAATGATATTCGAGTGATATTCGATCACCTCTCGCACATTTCGGCACTTGAATCATTTGTTAACAAAGTCGGCTAGCATAAATGAGCTAAACGCTCTATAATCTAGCTCTATTTTTGACAAAAAATTTTTTATAAAGCTGCATTTTAAAAAAATGATTTGCTTTTACTGCTATCTTTTTGGCACTTTGGTTTGCTTTGCATTGATTTGGCTTTGGCTTTGGCTCTGGCTCTGGCTTTGGCTCTGGCTCTGGCTTTGGCTCTGGCTCTGGCTCTGGCTTTGGCTCTGGCTTTGGCTCTGGCTCTGGCTCTGGCTTTGGCTCTGGCTCTGGCTTTGGCTCTGGCTCTGGCTCTGGCTTTGGCTCTGGCTCTGGCTTTGGCTCTGGCTCTGGCTTTGGCTCTGGCTCTGGCTCTGGCTTTGGCTCTGGCTCTGGCTCTGGACCTAGATCTGGCTCTGGAGCTGGAGCTGGCTCTGTCTCTGCCTCTAGCTCTGTCTCTGGCTTTGGCTTTGGCTCTGCTTTGCTTTGGCTTGGCTCTGTCTCCGGCTCTGGCTTTGGCTCTGCTTGCTTTGCTTTTTACAGGTAGAAAATCAAAAAGAAACGTAGTGGTCCTATCATTTTGCAACGCGCTGTATTATGAAGCGTTTAAAACGTATAAAACTTGTCTAAAGGCTCCAAAGACTTGATCACTTAAAAAAGTGATCAACTCGTTCCAATCTAATAGCTATGATAATATTAATAGCTATGATAGTATTAATAGCTATGATAATATTTAAAAGTTTGAAAAGGTTAGAAAGGGTTTTTTGGTATTGTTTTTGAGAAAATGCTCGTTTTTGATTTGGTTTTTTGGCTTTGATTGACCTGGCAAAGCTCAAGACAAGGCTCAAGGGAAGACAAGAGAAGACAAGGCTCAAGGGAAGACGAGAGAAGACAAGGCTCAAAGGAAGACAAGAGAAGACAAGGCTCAAAGGAAGACAAGACAAGACAAGGCTCAAGGGAAGACAAGAGAAGACAAGGCTCAAGGGAAGACAAGAGAAGACAAGGCTCAAAGGAAGACAAGAGAAGACAAGGCTCAAAGGAAGACAAGAGAAGACAAGGCTCAAAGGAAGACAAGAGAAGACAAGGCTCAAGTCGAGCTAAGAGAAGACAAGGCTCAAGCCAAGACAAGACAAAGCTCAAGCCAAGTCAAGACAAGGCAGGACAAGACAAGGCTCAAGCCAGAGCCCAAGTCAAGTCAAGACAAGCCAAGTCAAGCCAAGTCAAGACAAAGCTGAAGCCAAGGCTTTGCCTAGAACTTTCTCTACTTCTAAAGCACAATGTACAGAACAATGAATCGATTTTTCACTTCCGCATAACATAACTGCAAGTACCGTAAGCCGAGATTGCCTGCAAACCTTTTCCCATCATTTCATTCAATCATTTCATTCAATCAACCCTTCATTCAATCATTTTCCCGTTCCCCAATATGGTTTTTTTTCTCAAAATTTCTTTTTTTGTCATTTTTTCCATTTTTTTTTGATTTTTTTAACCCACGAGGTCACTGGCTAATAGCCAAAAATCAAATTTTAAAAGAAAAAACTCTTTTTTTTTCTGTTTTTTGGGAAATCTCAGAGAATTCTTTCGTTCTTTCGATGATTCTTTCGTTTTTTGGAGATATTTCTTGTTTTCCTTTCTTTTTCTGATCATTTCTGATCATTTCTGATCATTTTCAATCTCAAAGATCTCTTTTTTTCGACGATTTTTCAACGATTTTCCCTTCAATGACCTTTCAAAACAAAATTTGATCACTTTTTTTCTCATGTTTTCTTTTGATTTATGATGTCAATGCGGTTTCCAAGAGGTTTAAAGAAGAAATTCAGCCCTACAGCTAGTGATCAAAGCCGTTGTTGAGCATTATTAAGGCAAAAATGTACAAATCGATGGCTTAATCACCCCAAATTCGTCTTGTTATCATTGTTGGATTAAAGTTAGCTTTAAATCTCTAAAATCAACAATCTTCCTATTTCTACTTTAGATCATTTGAAAGCCTGAAATCTCCTCTATCCAATGATATTAAAGCTTTTGAATAAGCTTATCTCTAGACAAAGTTATGGATGTTTAATACAGGGCTCATTCAGAGTGCCCGGTCTTCGGTCTCTTGGTTTTGTCTTCAGTTTTCTCGAGATCCTCTAGTCCGATTAATCTCTACTCTAGATCATTTGAAAGCCTGAAATCTCCTCTATCCAATGATATAAAAGCTTTTGCATAATATAATATCTAGACAAAGTTATGGACGTTTAAAGCAGGGCTCATTCAGAGTACCCGGTCTTCGGTCTCTTGGTTTGTCTTCAGTTTTCTCGAGATCCTCTAGTCCGATTAATCTCTTCTCTAGATCATTTGAAAGCCTGAAATCTCCTCTATTCAATAATATAAAAGCTTTTGAATAAGCTTATCTCTAGACAAAGTTATGGATGTTTAATACAGGGCTCATTCAGAGTACCCGGTCTTCGGTCTCTTGGTTTGTCTTCAGTTTTCTCGAGATCCTCTAGTCCGATTAATCTCTTCTCTAGATCATTTGAAAGCCTGAAATCTCCTCTATTCAATAATATAAAAGCTTTTAAATACTATGATCTCCAGACAAAGTTATGGACTTTTAAAGCATGGTGACAATGCCTTAAACTTAAAGATAATGACAATGCTTTGAAGGCCGATAACTTTGTCTAGAGATAATATTTTCGTAAACTTTCTATAACATTGAATAGAGAATATTTCAGGCTTTCAAATGATACCAAATAGAGGTTGATTGGAGAATTGAGTCCAATAAAATTCGAGCCAACTCTGGAAGATGAGGTCTAGCCGACACTCCTGTCGTGTCACCTGGTTTTCATGGGAATGAAAAATCCAATCAAGCTCTATTTAGTATGATTTAAAAGCCTAAAATCTCCTCTATTCAATGGTATTAAAGCTTTTGAATAAGCTTATTTCTGGACAAATTTATGGACGTTTAAAGCACGGTCTCTCATTCAGAGTGCCCGGTCTTCAGTCTCTTGCTTTGTCTCCAGTTTTCTCGAGATTCTTTAGTCCAATCGATCTCTACTTTATATCATTAGAAAGCGTGAAATCTCCTCTATCCAATAATATAAAAGTTTTTGTATAAGCTTATCTCTGGGCAAAGTTCTGAAGCTTTCAAAGGACATCCTGCTAATCGTTCGAGTTCATTCGACAAGTCACAAATTCTAAATCAAGAATAATTCTAAATTCTAAATTCTAAATCATCCACATTCACGCCTAAGCCTGAAATGCTCACAAGCTATTTTTAAGAACATTAATCGAAAAGCTTCAGTCCCTAGAAAGATAATCCCAGCTTTTTTTGTGCACTTTCTCGTCTAGAACTGTTCCAGTCATCGTTTTCCCCTTTGGATCTCAAAAAATCACAAATTTCTTTCCCTTTTCTTCTTCTTTCTCTTCTTCTTCCTCTTCTCCCTCTTCTTCTCCCTCTTCTTCTTCCTCCTCTTCTCCCTCTTCTTCGTCTTCTTCTTCTTCTTCTTCTTCTTCCTCTTCTCCCTCTTCTTCTTCCTCCTCTTCTCCCTCTTCTTTGTCTTCTTCTTCTTCTCCCTCTTCTTCTCCCTCTTCTTCTTCTTCTTCTTCTTCTTCTTCTTCTTCCTCTTCTCCCTCTTCTTCTTCTCCCTCTTCTTCTCCCTCTTCTTCTTCCTCCTCTTCTCCCTCTTCTTTGTCTTCTTCTTCTTCTCCCTCTTCTTCTTCTTCTTCTTCTTCTTCTTCTTCTTCCCTCTTCTCCCTCTTCTTCTTCTCCCTCTTCTTCTCCCTCTTCTTCTTCCTCCCTCTTCTCCCTCTTCTTTGTCTTCTTCTTCTTCTCCCTCTTCTTCTCCCTCTTCTTCTTCTTCTTCTTCTTCTTCTTCTTCTTCCTCTTCTCCCTCTTCTTCTTCTCCTCTTCTTCTCCCTCTTCTTCTTCCTCCTCTTCTCCCTCTTCTTTGTCTTCTTCTTCTTCTCCCTCTTCTTCTTCTTCTTCTTCTTCTTCTTCTTCTTCTTCTTCTTCTTCCTCTTCTCCCTCTTCTTCTTCTCCCTCTTCTTCTCCCTCTTCTTCTTCCTCCTCTTCTCCCTCTTCTTCGTCTTCTTCTTCTTCTTCTTCTTCTTCCTCTTCTCCCTCTTCTTCTTCCTCCTCTTCTCCCTCTTCTTCGTCTTCTTCTTCTTCTTCTTCTTCTTCCTCTTCTCCCTCTTCTTCTTCCTCCCTCTTCTCCCCTCTTCTTTGTCTTCTTCTTCTTCTTCTTCTTCTTCCTCTTCTCCCTCT